GTTTAGAGAAATTATACGGAGGAGAAAAATGTCACAGAGACACGAATATTATTGCGTTTTCTTTTTTCCCCTTAAACCTTATCAGAAAAGAGTAAGAATGTTTTTGATTAGATCTCACATAAGAATCATTTCTATTATGGCACGACGAACGACTTCAAGTAATTCTGTTGAGAATGAAATTGATAAGGAACAACAGCAGCAGCAGCAGGATCAACAGCAACAACAAGAAGTTGAAGAGATTGATAAGAGTATAAAAGAATTAGAAGATCAAAAGGTTCGTGTGGCAGAAGAATTGAAACGTTTTGAAGTTGAAAAGAAAACGCTTGAAGAAGATGAAAAACGTAATTCAGCTCGTTTAAAAGAATTACAGGAATTAGTACAACGTGAAAAAGTGGAGCTCGCGAAATTAGATCATGAATTAGATGAACTTCAGAAGCAACGTCAAGTTCTCGATGATGAACTCAACAAACAGCAGGAACTGCTTGAGACAAATGAAAATCGTCTTGAACAAGCATTGGAAAAGCTGGAAGAATTGAAAGAACAACTACAGAAATTTACAGATGAAAAAACTCAGTTAGAAGAACAGAAAGAAGTATTTATACTTGAAAAACAGGAATTAGATCAGAAGATAAATGAAATCCAACGGCAAATTCAGCAGCTTGAACAGGAAGTACAGCAGACACAACAACGTATTAAACAGATCGAGAATGAAATTCAACATATTGAAGACGAACTGGAAGATATTCAAGAAGAAATTCAACAGAATGAACGTGATTTAAAGAAGATTCAAGAAAAACTTGAAGCTCTAACCCAAAAGATTTTACAACTTGAACGCGACTGTGGTCGTCTCGATGAGGAAGTAAAGAGAATCGAAAAACTGATGCAACAAATAACAGACGTGATTGAAATGAAACGAAATAATAAAGAAGAGTATGAACGATACAAGCAGGAATTACAAGAGGAACTGCGTGACGTAAAACAACGGCAAGCTGCAGTTGCAGGTGAAATACGGAATTTAAATCAAGAAGTTCAACAGTTAGAACGCAGTATGCAACCGTTGCAGCAACAATTACAACAGCTATCTAACACGTTGAATCAATATCAACAGCAGGCAAGAAAATTATATGAAGCAAAAGAACAGTGGAAGTAAGTTGATTCAGTTCGCTTTTTTTAAGCCGCAGAACGGCTTCAATCAAGCGAAATAAGTGTTCAAGAAGAACTCGGAAGTGTTATACCTTGCGCAGTTTTAACCCTGACCTTGCACTTTAGCCTTTTTTGAGTCGACTAAAGGCTGATTAAGAGGGAGTGAGAAAAAAGGTTTTCGGAGAACAAAAACACGAAATAAATTTTGGCTTGCACTAAGAGGAAACGACAATCTTTAATTTTATGAGCACCTTCTTGTGACTTAACCTTCTTTAGTCCTTTCGAGATGTGAACCAGTGATTACATTTTTGAAGTACAGTTTTTTCAGTAAAACAAAACCGAGGATTATCAACACAACTTTCAAACTATTACCGTTTCTTCATTTTGAGACAAAACCTATACAAAATTGTGTTTGTGAGCTTTCTCATTGCTACTAAAACACGTCACCACAAATGAGGTCAAAAGTCGATACAGTAATGGGCTCAGCTTTACAGTTGTGCCGAATCGAAGATTTTTTCACACAAACTTCCGAAACATACATCATCCCTCCCACTTTTAATCTTACTTCCAAATGTGATCGATGCCCCGATTTGGGGACAAATCACTTTCGACACTTTTAATCGATGTTAATAATCCTATACCATCATCAGCTTGACGATTAAGAGAGAGAAAAGACATGCGCATCTGTGGCCTTCTTGTCTTATTTTGTAGACAAAAAACAGACATAAAAAAGCAGGAAAGTATTCAGCTGAAGCAACAAGAAACTAAAACTAATCAACAATTGGAAACAAAACAACAGGACTATGCTAAATCACAACAGGCTAAAGAGACGCTAGAACAGCAAATCACTCAGTCTGAAAATGATCTGAACTCGACTAAACGTGAGCTAACTCGTGTTGAAACTGAACGAAATAATTGTGGTGAAAAACTGAAACAAGATAAACAGAAACTTCAAGAGGACGAAAAACATTTAGGAGATGCCGAGAGAAGTCAAAAAAAAGCTGAGTCAGAACTGAGAAAACAGGAACAGAAAACGAAAACAGCTGAACAGGAACTCGTAAAATGCCAACAGAAAGAAAAGGCGGCTCAACTAGCACGACAATCAGCGTTGGAAGCCGAACAACGATCTCAGCAAAATGTAGAATTAGCTCAGATATTATTTGAACAAGCACAGAATGCACTGACTCTAGCTATAGCAATGGCAACAAATCCTCTACTAATAGCAGTTTTGGTTGCTGCAAAAATGCTTGTTAAAACATGCCAAGATCAATTGACACAGAATAAAAATGAATTAGCACAACGTCAACAGGTACATCAGAAACGTACTCGTGATTACGCAGCAGCAGAACAAAATACAGCGAAAGCACAGGAAACGTTGAAAACTGAAAAAGCGAATTTAACTACGAGACAACACGAAGCTCAGACTGCGAAACAAGTTGCAGAATCGGCAAAACAAAGAGTAAAGGAACAGAAAACTCTCGTAGCGAACACCGATAAAGGATATACGGATCTTCGAAGTCAACATCAACAAGTTAAAGGAGAAGTGTCCACTAAAGATCAGCAAGTACAGCAGAGGAAAACACATCTAAAAACTCATGTACAACAGATGAACATTATTAAGAGAGATGCCGACAGTTTGAAGAAGAAACACGCGGAACTAAGTCAAAAAGGGAAGCAAGCCGATACCGAAGCTAAAAGTAATGAACAACAGTGTCAAGCAAAACTACAAGAACTTAATTCAAAAAATGCCGAAATTCAAAAAGTTCAGCAGGAACAGGAGCGTTTCAAAGGTGAAATACAACAGAAACGAAGTCAAATTGCCGGCGTACAAAATCAAATAACATCCAAGCAAAAGGAAGAAGAGAATGTCAAAGGAAAAGTCTTGAATGCCGAAAAGTCCTTACTCATGATTAGTAAATCTATTACTGAACTGCAAGCGGAATTGCGTGAACAGAAAAATCTACAGGATACAGCAGCAAAAGAAAAAAGCAAATTTGAAAGTGAGTTACAGTCTACGAAAACCAAAACCGAGAATTTAGAACGCGAAGAGGAACGTAATGAAGTTGAACGACGAAAATTGGAAAAGGACTTGAATAAGAAACATAAATTCTTAGTAGAAAAACAAAAAGAAAACAACCAATTGAAATATGATGTAGATCAACGAAAGGACGATATTAGTAGAAAAAAGTCCAATTTACAAGCACATGAACAAACAAAAGCTATACTTGCTGGTTCTTTAGAAGAAAATAAACGAAAAACTAAAACAGCCGAAAGTAAAATTAAGGATTTGAATAAGAATATCGACAAACAAGATGAATTGAAACAGAAGGCCGAACACCTTTTTAAGGATTCCGAGAGAGAAGTACGAAATAAAGAAGCAGAAATTAATAAGTTGGACAATCGTACGAGAGATGTACAGAAACAGCTTGATTCAGTGAATGCTAAACATTCAACTGCTCAGAACGATCTAAACTCAGTACAGAATTCAAAGATTGTTATTGATCATCGAAAAGCCGATGTTGAACGTAATCTAAATGATCAAAAATCTGCTATGACACGTATTGCTCACGATGTAGCTGTTAAACAAAATGTATTACGAGCTTACAAGACACAACAGCAGAACGCAGAGAATATAGATGAAGAGAGTAATGAAGAATCAGAAGAGGAAGAAGAAGAGAGAAAATCCAGACGAACTCGACAAAATGAGAAGAAACATCATCGTCGACAGAATCAGGTGAGTTCTCACTGTATTATATTGTCGCTGAAATTACAGATCATTCCACTAAAATTTTGAAGCGATTTGCAAGGGCTTTTTCTTCGTTAGTGACTTACACAAATCTCATGATTCTTATATCAGCCCACTCCACTTACACTGCAGATGTTGTCATAGTATTTATAGTTTAGACAAATGAATGCTTCTTAATAAAATATCTGATAATACCGAAGGGATCGTTATGTATCTTTTGACGGCAAAATAGTCATACTCTGTGGTACAACAAGAATTATCTGAAATGAATCTGTGTGTATCAAAAAGTACCATTAATTGTATCGCTATCAATGTTGGAAAACAGTGCCAATTGGATTAAAATTAGTAAAAAATCAAAGACTAAAATTTTATTGTCGACGTCCTATAGCAACATCTGCGACTGTTCGCCGTATTATAGCATATACAAATAAAGGAAATCCTTCAACTATTGCACTAACGGCTGCAAGAGCCATATCAGTGCTAGTATGTTTTTGCGTGTTATCCGTGATAACTCCCATACAAAATGTCATAAGAAAAAATCAGTAACATCGTTTATATCCAACTGTCCATTTAAAAGAGACGATGTTACGTATAATAAGGCGAACAATCGCAGATGTTGCTATATGACGCATAGGTGTAACCGCTCGAGATTTTCTTGACCCGACCGGCAACCGGTCGATTGGTCGGTAATATATTTTCCTAGTGTGTAAGTGTAAAAGCCTAACAAAAAAGGAGTACCAGGGCTTCTAGAAAAACGTCCATAGCTCCCGAACCGTGGATTTCCAAGATGGCCCTTAGATTCCGTTGTTTAGAGGACACTTCGGACTCTATATGTATGAAAACATATCCATCAATTTCTGTCAGCTTTCAGAGAACCGAACTGGTTTTCCACAGATTTCCTGAAAAATCGATCTTTAAAGTTTTTCCAAACTCGTTTTTGCTTATGAAAATATACTCTCAGATCTTGGTTAGCGAATGATGAAAACTTTAAGTCTCTATCTTTTATTTGTCTTGAGTTATTCAAAAAATAACCACCGGCCTTGTACTATAGAACCGGTAATAGTGCAAGAAACATTAGAAAAGAAAGAAAAATGAACGGAATATTCACATAGTAGAGATTATCAGTCCTGCTCTCGAAGACTGTTAACAAAAAAGAAAATTAAACTAATTTTCTTAATCTGACATTTACTTAGCTCAGCAAATTCGTTTTCGACAAAATACTGATTTTTCAGAGAAAAAAAATGTTGTTTTTCTTGACCGGCCGATCAAATTAATTTTTTTTCGGCCAGTCAGCCGGCCAGAAATTCCTGACCGGACCAGCCGTGTACTGGTTCCATCAATTCCGGAATTTTACTCTTACCACGAGAATTTTTCTGTCATCATGAGAATTTCCTCCGTGACTAAAAGCCAGATGAAGTTCTCAAATCACAACAAGAAAGACTTCTCGAGATTCCTGAATTTTGCGTCCCTTCACAAGAGTTTCACTTGCTTCTACGAGAATTTTAGTCTACCACACGAGCAGCTAGCTATGAAACAAGAAAGACCGACCGTCTTCAAGAGAATTTTAGTCTCTTACACGAGAATTCTACTTGTGTAAGAGGAACTGAGAATATCCTGGATACATTCTTCACGAGAATTTTCCTTTTGTACAGAAATTTTGAGAATTACCGCGAGAATTCTACTTGTGTCGAAATACTATCGTAACCCAGAATACACAATACATGATAGATAGTACACAATGCTTAACAGAAAAGGCGGAGGTTGAAGTTGTCCCAGTTTCCAGGAATTATGAACGGTATGAGAATTATGGATGCTGTTTGAGCAACTGTTCGTGATGTTAAAGTTACTACACAATGTAAAGTTCAAAGTTCTAGAGAGTTTGTGAGAGTGAGTTACCAAGAGGCATTTCAGTGCAAAAAAATAAACCGAACATCCTGCTCAAATTTCTCATACCTCTTCCATGCTGCACAAAAATGTAAAAAGATCATACGGATTACAACCGCATAATGACAGCACTAGGAACATCAGAAGAAAACAAGAAGAATTCACGTGTAAGAGACTAAAATTGTCGTGATAATTCTCAAAATTCCTGTAGAAAAGAAAAATTGTCGTGAAGAATGAATGTATCCGGAATATTTTCTCAGTTCCTCTCACACAAGTAGAATTCTCGTGTAAGAGAATAAAATTTTCGTGGTAATTCTCGAAGTTCCTGTAGAAGAGTAAAATTACCGTGAGGAAACTTACAGCATTAATCTGGGTTCCTGTGCTAGAAGCAAAGTTCTGTTGGACAGATTAGTCTGTGTGGATTCTTGTGGAAGTTGAATAAATCGGAATTGATGGAGCTCGAACATCTCTCGACCGGACCAGTCAGTTGCCGGTCCCGGTTACATCTCTGATATGACATCGATGAAAAAATTTGGTTTTTGATTTTTTACTAATTTTAATCCAATTGGCACTGTTTTCCAACATTGATAGCGATACAATTAATGGTACTTTTTGATACACACAGATTCATTTCAGATAATTCTTGTTGTACCACAGAGTATGACTATTTTGCCGTCAAAAGATACATAACGATCCCTTCGGTATTATCAGATATTTTATTAAGAAGCATTCATTTGTCTAAACTATAAATACTATGACAACATCTGCAGTGTAAGTGGAGTGGGCTGATATAAGAATCATGAGATTTGTGTAAGTCACTAACGAAGAAAAAGTCCCTGCAAATCGCTTCAAAATTAATGGAATAACCTGTAGAAGTCAGAGCTAGGCAACTCAGCTTAAAAAGAGAATTAATTCGATTCGATTCATTTGAAAAAATTTTCGATTTAATTCAAGTAAATTCATCTAGCCTAAGAATTGTTTTAGATTCGATTAGTACAGTTAGAAAAATTTTTTCAACTCAATTCAATTCATTGTGTTTCATTGTTATTCATCACATGAAAAAGAGTTTATCCCATTCATCAAGCACAATAAACGAATAAAAATATCTCGAATCAGATAACAAATACGAAATGAATAGACAATTAAAAAGAAATAAAAAGAACTAATGATGTGGATGAAGTTTATAAAAAATAAAAATTACTATTCGTAATTTAAAGAAGATCACGATTACGTTTCAGCATTGTCGTCTGTTGTAAAGTTGTTCTCGTCATCGACGCTCGATGTTGCCGAAATAAAAAGCCGCTCTGACTAAAGACCTTCTCAACGGGTGCTGATGTTGCAGGAGTCGAAAGGACTTTAAGAGCTAATTTGGATAACGACGGATAATTCTTTGAAGATTTTATAAGAAACATAGCACCCATATCATCTTCATTTAAATATTTACGTATTTCATCTTTGATATAACCGAATGGATCAGATTTTGCTGTTTTAACATTCTTGTTGACCATATTTGTAAATAAGCGTTTTCGTTTTGGAGTACCAGGACTTGATGGAGCACTAGTCATTCATGTTTGTGTTTGTCCTGGTGGAATCAACATGGAATTATCATTATTTGATGTTACAGGTTGTTCATTAACATGATCAAGTACAAAACATTGTTCTAAGACAAGTTGTTGTATTTTGTTAGACAGTTCTTCTTGTACCTCTTCTGCTACAGTTGAAGTTGATATCCATTGTAAACGAAAACGACCATCTAAGAATGGTGCCAATAAAAAGATGGGATCTTTATAAAGATCATAAAATCGTTTATTCCTTTTGTTCTCTGGAATATCGACAACTATAAACATTTGTTTTAAAAGACCTCCGAAACGAGAAAAAGTAATTCTAATAGCGTCTCACATAAATTTGAAGCATGTTTAACATTTGTCCGTTCGAATAAGAGATCATGATAAATAGCTAAAATTGATGGAGCTACAATTGAAATGGAAGGTGTGGTTTCTGCTTGAGTAGTAACTGTAGCATCAGCAAAAAGTGTTAGTAATGAAATCAATGAATTAAGCACTTGGTAATCCAATGACTTTAGACATAATTCACGATGCTGTGTTTGTGTTAAAATATCATTTAAATCAGATGGTTGAATACCTATAACTGCCACCACCGTTTCATATTGTGAATTTCAGCGGGTTTTATTGGCTTTTGGAATACATATTTTGATTTTTTCAAAACGTTCTGATACTAATGTTAAAGAATGAGATAATTTGGCAATTTTTGAGATTTTTTCTAATGAATTTCGAATACCTGTACACCTTTCAATCCATCATTGACAATTAATTGAAGAGTATGCGCGTAACAAGGCAAACGAAATGATTGATTTGAAGTTTCAATTGAATGGAAAAATGTTTGTAATACATCTTGTATATCAACAAGAACCTTGTTTTCATTCGTAATATTCTCATCGTCACTTTCTTCACCATCACTATTCGAATCGAAATGTAATTCATTATCTTCGTTTTGAAACTGACATTCAAAATCGGGTATAATTAAACCACTAAATGCAGATATGTTACTGGAACAACTATCAGTTATTAATCGCACCACCTTTGATTGGATTTGAAATGAATTAATACATGTTTCATATGTTTCAAGTAGTAATGGTGCACGATGATTTCCAAAAATTGGTTGAATACACATAACATGTGATTCGTATTCTGCATCGATGATCGCGTGTTCTATAAAAAATATATAAGTTAGTATTCATATAGTAGTTTTCATTTATTATCGTTCGTATCAGTTAAAGCAAAATAAGCTCTTTGTCTTCTATCTGTCCACACATCTAATGTCAATGACATAAATGTAGCCATTGAACAAAATGATGTTAGACCATTCACCATTTTTGAATATAAATTTGGTAACGTCGTGCAACTTAGTGTTCTTCGACTAATCATTGTAAATCTTGAATCAACATGTTGCATGAATTTGATGAACGCTGGACGTTCAATAAGTGAAAGTGGACCACTAAGTTCAATTATTAAATATTCAATAATGGTTTTTTCCAATCCAATTTGACGAGCATGATTGGGCGAATACATCGAACTTCATGTGCCTGTGGACTTCACCTTTTGAACACTCACTGTATCAGTCATTTTTTTCTGATGTATTGAATCATAGGCTGATAATTGTTGTTGTCACCATTCATATTGATTCTTGCGACATTCTTTAATACGTCGATTGTAATTCGATGTAACACCTCTTGTGCCACGTATTGTAGTTTTGCAAATATTACACGTAGCTTCCCATGATTTCTTTTCATCCATCGTTTTGGTATTGCGATCAAACTGATCACATATAGTTTTGGCAATATATTTTATAGTTAAAGCTCCATCAGTCGAACTTGTTGTATCAGGTATAACGATTGGAGATGATGATGATCCTTCAATAAGATCAGACGACATGATAAGACTTGTGTACAAGATTAATAACACAGTGGCTGTTAGAAGTAGTTGAGCGTTTTATTCGTGTGTACATCGAGGGTGTAGATAGATAAATATATGTAACAGAAATCAAGATTAAAATCACCTTTTTGCATGTTGAAATGACCATTTCAAAATGAGACGTTTCGTCTTTATTCTAAAGACATCATCAGTCAACTGATGTACAAAAAATAACTTCTAACATAGAAACAGACAATAAAACGCGTGTAGAACATAAAATATTTTTCTTTTGTTTTTCACTCTCCTTCTAGATCATATGTACTAAGGAGATAAAGGAAGAAAATAGCGATATGACTAAGCAGGTGATAGACGGGTATATAAAGACCTAAAGAAAACTTATAAAATAAATTATAGTCATAACTCAATCTTTTATGATTTTATTAGTATATTGATCTTGCAGCAAGAATTTCTTGATTTCTTTCAAATTGAATGAATTCAATTCAATTCAGTGACCCTAGTAAAAATTTTCGATTCAATTCAACTCGATCCGATGATTTTTGAAAAATTTTTCCATTCAATTCGATTCCATTCACGAATTAAATTGACTCGAGTTGAGTTGGTCGTTTTTTGAATTGAGGTGCCCAGCTCCTGCGACTGTTGAGAGTAAAAGATCCATGAATTAAAATATTGTATACTTCTGCAAAATAACTTTTGAGCGATGCACACTTATATGACATCGAGCAAATGCTCAAGGTATATCTATATCTTGTTTCTTTTTCTATTATTTGTAGGAAAAGTATGCACAAAATTGATAATGCTACAGTTGTGTAACTAACAATCCAGATTATCTTTATTCATATACAAAACATATTTAATTAAGAACTTAGCCTGGAACGCTTTTTACTTTGTTTTTTACTATTGGTGTTTTTTATCGTCTTAGACAAAGATTCATATCACAAAATCTTGTTAGGTTTTATTTACACGCTTAAGTAGCCATAACGGCTTCGAGTAGACTCTTAAAAAGTAAAAACCCAGAGGCTGAAGTCATTTAGACAGCTTATCAAGTCTGAATACACTTTTCAGGGAGAAGTTAAAACTTTTTTGAGACCGCTAGAGCCTATAGTTTGCTATTTTCCCGTTCGAGCCCTAAGAATCAAATGAGATGTATGTCCTTCAGCACATTTAGATCTGCTTTTCTTTACTAACGAATTTCTGAAACTTTCAGATCACTACAAAAATGTTGTCTGTATCGTAAAAAAAATGAAAGATTATTCAAAGATAATTCATCATCTGACATACTATTTTTGAGCGTAAGATCTTGAATTATAATGAGCATGTCGATATTAACTTATTTATCTTTAACTAAAGATATTAACGGAATCGTTACACTAAATGACGAACATCTTCGTACGATCCGTGATGAATTTAAAGAGTTAAATAAGAATAACGATCCGGACGACGAAGTACTCAAAGAGACAACATTGAAAACGCTAGCTAGACAACTGCGTTTGAATACCGATCAACGCAATATAGACTATTTAAATATTTGTGTAAAGGATGAAGAGGTAGACGATGCAAAACTGGAAATTAGTATAAAATACAGAGACAGTACATCGGAAATTGTTGAACCAATCATCCCCATACCAGTTCCCATCACTACTGAATCAACAAAACAGAAGAAATCAACAACTACTAAAAAACAACCAAAGAAGTTGAAGAATAAGGAATCACAGGCCAATCGTGACAACGATGACAAATGTAAGCAGTTGGACGAAATTACATGTATTATAAATAAAAAATTAAATAGGTCTGAAGTAGACGATTTAATGAAAGAATTTCTGTTTCGACGAGTACAACAAGAAGATGGACAGGCAGTGGTGTAAGTCAGTTCTGATTCGTTTACGCTATCAGGGCTACCCCCCCCCCCCATAATAGAAGCCTCCGGGGCTTCTAAACTGTCCAAGTGTTCAAAATTTTTAGAGGGGGCT